TGGGATCGCCAATGGCAGCAGGGCTGGGGCTTGGCTCCAGCTCCTGGCCGAACAACGGGGGTTTCAGAGGACATGCAGGCGCTGCACTTGGGGAAGCACATGCACATGGGCACCACAGCTGTGGGGCTGTGCTTCTGCAGCCACCAAACCAAACCAAACCAAAAGGACCTGGGGCTGCAGAGGAGACCGTGGTGGTGGGGTGTCTCTGTCAGTGCTCCCAGCAAGACCTGTTCTTTGCCACCCTTTGTTCTAAGGGACTTTGCCACCCTTTTGAGGGGCTGTTTGAAGGCAGGGTGGCTGTGGGAAGGTCTGTCCCCAGCTCCTGGCAGGGATGTACAGCAGATTGCTGTGTTCCCGTGGTGTTCGGAGGAGGCACAGTGCTGCCAGTCCCCTGGTGCTCATCCCTTCTAACCAAGCTGAGTGCCCTGGACATGGGGGCCATGGGCACACACGGCCTGGGAGTGGGCTGGAGGAGAGGGGACGTTCCACCAAGTGCCAGCCAGGCCCCCAGCCCTGGACCAGCCTCAGTCCTTGAGCATCCCAGTGCCATCAAGAGGGAGGGTCTGTGGGTAAGGGAATCTTCCCCACAGTGCCAGACCTCTCCAAGGCTTCCCAAGCAAATCACTTGCATCTTTTGCAAAGCCTGCCCTAAATAAACCACCAGCTGAGCATCCCATGGATCCTCAGTTGCTGCTGCTGTCTGTGTGGGGGCATGGCAGGCTGAGGATGCAGCGCCCTCCCTCTCCTGAGCTGCAGGGGTCCATGCTGTATCCACCATTCCTGGAAAGCCGGTAAACGCCACCTCCCTCATTTTTCCTTTAGCAGCGGGGGTCTTGGCATCTCCTCAACCCATTTCCTCTCCCAGCTCTTGTTGACACGAGAACAATGAGCCAAGGGCGGCAGAGCAACACTGCCCCTTCCTCGGGGCAACAGGGGCAGATGGAGAAGGGGCTGGTCGGGGAGTTGGGAGAGAAGGGTTTTTATTGTGAGTTATGGGCCAGGCTGGCACCCGCCACCCTCCACGGGGTCCTGCAAGGAGGACGATATTAAACAGAGCTCATTCAGCCCATGCTGGTCAAGGCTCCCCGGTTTTCCAGCCTGTGAGGAGCAGGGATGCGAGCTCGCTCTTACCTGGAGGGGGAGCTGATTGGGAAGAGCCCCGTGTGCTCCGGAGGAGCGGCTCCCCAGCCCCATGTGCAGCAGAGAGAGCCCAGCCGAGGTCAGAGTCCTGCTCCCACCGAGCCCCCAGTGCTGTCGAGGGTGCGAGGAGGGAGCGGAGCTGCGGGGCTGGGAGCCCAGCACCTCCCCGCGCCTCCATCCCGGAGCAGCCAGGGGCTCGCTCGGCACCCCAGGACCACCCGGGCTCCTCCATCGGGGCTCTTGTGCCATCCAGTGGCCAAGGCCCGGCCCGGCGCAGGCTGAGCGCTGGGAAGCAGGGAGCCAAGGTTGGAGCCTGGAGAGCATCACTCCAGAGCCCAGGGGATGAGGATGCCAAGGGGACGTGCTGGGCCTCTGGAGGCATGCCCAGAGCCGGGATGCGCCTGGCAGATGCTGTGTCAAGAGCTCGGAGCTCCCCGGAGTGCTCCAGAAGGAGGAGAGCAGGCTGAGGGTACTGGGCTGCAGCAGAGCCTCCTGCCCCTGCATGGAGATCCAGCAGCGACCTGTGCTGAGGAGGAAGGAGGCTCCTCATGTCAGGGACAGGAGCCGTGCAAGTGCTTCCCTGGGGAACCCCATGCTCACACCACTCATCCCAGCCAGGGACAAAACAGGCATCAAGTGCCTCCTCCATGCTGAGCCGTGCCAGCACTGCTGCTCGGGCTGGAAGTACTTCCAGTGGGACCACTTCTCCCTACTCCACAACGCCTTGTGCCCACTTCAGCACAGTCGTGATGCAGGACTGGGCTCGGGATACTGGAGGGCAGTGTGGGCAGTGCAGGAGGTGCGCTGTGGACAGCACCAGCTCTGTGTGTGCGTACAGCTCCCAGCAAGCAGGATGGGAGCCTGGGCTTTCACTTCTAAACTGATGCTGTGGGCTCTGGTGCTGGGACTGCCCAGGTCTCAGGAGAGCTGCACTGGCAGAGGGAGTGACAGGGAGAGCTCTAAGGAATTTGGTTGGGAAGGCAGGGCCCCCAGCAGCTTGGTAGAACACAGCAGGCTCCTTTCTGCCCCTGAGACATCAGCTTAACAATTAGGACTGGCTTCTATTAATATGCAAATTTCTGCTGCCATGGCAATACTCTCATAAATGCAGATTGCAGTGGGAAGCATTGTTGGAGAGACCTGTGCTGGGCCCTGAGCTTTGTCTGAGCAGATGCTCCTCATTGAGCTCCCCTGGAGCCTGTGGTCCTGGGCTCCAGGACAGCCCTGCCAGAGGCCACAGTGACACCGGCAGCAGCTTCACTGCAGTGCCCCTCTCCCTGCGCAGAGTTTGGGCCTGTTCGTGCAGATGCTGGTGCTGATTCTAACGGTGTCCTCAGCTTAAGGACATGGAGCTGTTGGAGCAAGTGCAGAGGAGGCCATGGGGATGATCTGGGGCTGGAGCACCTCCTGTATGGAAACAGGCTGAGAACACAGGGGCTGCTCAGCCTGGAGAAGCTGCGTGGAGACCTCAGAGCAGCTTCCAGTGTCTGAAGAGGTCTACAAGGATGCTGGAGAGGGGCTCTTCATCAGGGACTTCAGTGACAGGACAAGGGGTGATGGTTGCAAACTGAAACAGGGGAAGTTCAGGTTGGATAAAAGGAAGAAGCTCTTTACTGTGAGGGTGCTGAGGTGCTGGCACAGGATGCTCAGAGACATGGTAAATGCTCCATCCCTGGCAGTGTTGAAGGCCAGGTTGGAGAGAGCCTTGAGTGCCGTGGTCCAGTATGAGATGTCCCTGCCTGTGGCACGGGATTGGAACTGGATGATCTTTCCAGCCCTAACCATTCTATGATTCCATGTGCCAGCAGCAACAGGCAGGGCAATCCAGCCTTGCTGCTCCGTGGGAACCTCCTTTCACCTGCCACCGGCATCCGATTCCAGTTTCCGCAGCAGCAGCAGCAGCCGTGCCCTGAGCTGCTCTGGGAAGCAGGGATGTGTGCGGCTCCCTCGGCCGGGAATAACACACCTTCCCCGTGCAGCCATCGCCTGCAGCAGGAGCTGGCTGCTGCCCAGCCTCGCAGCGGGCTGCCCGGGGAGGCTGGGGCTGGCTCAGGACCACAGGCGCTGCAAGCATCTGTGCTGGCTTGCCCTGCTCCCGGGCACCGCTGAGCCCCAGATCCCGACCCGAGGGAAGGGGGGGATGGATTCTCCTGAGCCTGCTTGGGATGGAGCCTCCGGGCAGGCTGGGTTTGCCAGCAGCTCCCAGCCCTGCGATGGGAAGCACTGTGCCGGTGCCGGGTGAGGTGGGCTTCCATCCCTGGGTACTGCGGCCATCGTGCACACGCGTCCCTTCCCACCCGGGGCCGGGACCACGAGGTGGCAGTGCGGGAACAGCAGGAAAGGGGCCCGGGCTCCACCGCTCCCCGAGACCCCAGGAGCAGCCGAATGGAACCGCACCAAAGCATAGAACCAGACCAGTTTGGGTTGGAAGGGACCTTCAAAGCTCACCTTAGCCCAAACTCCTGCCGTGAGCAGTGACACCTTCTGCTACACCAGCTTGTCCAGAGCCACATCCAGCCTGGCCTGGGATGTATCAAGGAATGGGGCATCCACCACCTCTTTGGGCAACCTGGGCCAGGGTTTTACCACCCTCATTGTAAAGGATTTTCTTCTCCCATCTCCCATCCTTCGCTTTAAACCCATCACCCCTCATCCTGTCACAACAGGCCCCGCTGCAAAGCCTCCCCATCTTTCTTACGGCCCCTTTTAAGAACTGAAAGGCTGCAATAAGGTCTCCCCAGAGCCACTGAAGCCAGGTCATGTCCAATCTTCCATCCACCAGAACCCCTGCATCCTTGCTCCGAGGGGTACTCTCAATCCCTTCACCCCTCAGCCTGTGTTGATGCCGGGGTGCCCCATCCCGGCTGAAGGACCCTGCGCTCATGAGCTCAGGGTGTACCCACTGCTCCCCAGAGTCATCTCCAAGCCACCCTTGAGGGCTTGGCACGGAGCCGTGGCCAGGCCAGTGAGCTGGCATCTCCGGGTGGAGGGCACCCAAGACAGGCGGCTGGGTACGCACACACCCGTGCACCAACCCTCGGCTCGCAGGGGCACAGGAGGCGCTCACTGTGAGCACCACGCACCCACAGCAACCCGGCCTCCGGGGAACAACCCCGAGCCCAACGCCTGCGGCCCCCGAGGCAGGACCAGGAGGCGGGCACGGGAAGGGAATGGGCACAGGAAGGGAATGGGGAGGGGCACGGGAAGGGAATGGGGAAGGGGAATGGGGAAGGGAATGGGCACGGGAATGGGCATGGGAAGGGAATGGGGAAGGGAATGGGGAAGGGAATGGGCATGGGAAGGGGAATGGGGAAGGGAATGGGGAAGGGGAATGGGGAAGGGGAATGGGCACGGGAAGGGGCACGAGGAGGGGCACGGGAAGGGAATGGGGAAGGGAATGGGGAAGGGAATGGGGAAGGGATGGGGAAGGAATAGGGAAGGGATGGGGAAGAGAATGGGCACGGGAAGGGAATGGGGAAAGGAATGGGGAAGGGATGGGGAAGGAATAGGGAAGGGATGGGGAAGAGAATGGGCACGGGAAGGGAATGGGGAAAGGAATGGGGAAGGGAATGGGGAATGGGCACGGGAAGGGGAACGAGAAGGGAATGGGGAAGCGGAATGGGGAAGGGGAAGGGGAATGGGGAAGGGAATGGGCAGGGAAGGGGCACGGCTCCCTCCCGGCCCCGCCCCTCGCCGCCTGCGCGCTGAGGTGGCGCTGCGGGGCGTGGCGGCTGGGCCTGGCCGGGCCGGGCCGGGCGGCGCGGGGCCTGGCCGGGCCGCGCTGGGCCGGGGGATGCGGGAAGCGGGGCCGGGCGTGCGGGCCGCCCGCTGGGCGCTGCCACGGACGCTGCTGGCGGTGGTGGTGCTGCTGCTGTGCGTGCGGGCGGCCGCCGCTGCTGAGCCCTGCGGAGCGCCCTGCTCCTGCCGCCGCGGCCTGCTGGACTGCAGCCGGCATCGCCTGCCCGGGGGGCCGGGCCCGAGGAGGATCCCGCCGCTGCCCGCCGGCACCACGGGCCTGTGAGTGAGCACGGCGGGCGGTGGCGGGGCCTAACGGGAGGCAGGGCGTGCGCAGGCCGCGGCCTAACGGGAGGTGGCGGGGGGGGGGGGGGGGTGCGGGGCCGGGCGCTGAATGCGGGGAGGCTCGGGCGGGTGCTCGGTGTCCGTGGGTTGTGGAGCCCGGGAGCGCGGTGGCCGTAGGGGGGGGCACGGGGGAGCCGGGCTCTCAGGGCAGTGGCACTTCCCGGCTGAGAACGGCCCTGGGAGCCGCAGCAGCGGCCGCCCGAAGGAAGGCTCCGTACGGGAGCAGGTTGTGTGCATGCCTGATCCTGCCGTGTGACCCGAGCGTGTGAGAAGAGGACTTAGCGTTGTTTTAGGTCAGGCTGTAGGACACAGCCCTTTAGGATTGTGTTTGGGAATAGCCCTTCCAGACCCCGGCTTCAGCTGTGTTCTGTGACAGTTCCTGCTGCTTCTGATTTCTTCTGCATCCCTCTGCTCCTTTGCAGCTCAGTGACTCCTTTTCCCTCAGGAAAACCACTGTGGACTCCCCTTGATACCTGCTGCCGTTGTTTGTCCTAAGAAAACCTCAGAGCTCTGCTCCCAAGAGTTTAATTAGCCAGTGTGCTCAGCAGTGTACATATGGGGCTGAATGCAGTACGCCTTCATCCTTCCTTGGCCTTTACTCTCATAGTCACCATTGCATTTGTCACCTTTGTCCACAGCATAGTTGGGATGGGGAGAAGAAGCCCTGAAGGACGGGGTATATGTAAGCCTGCTTTTGTGCACAGAGGCCTCTTGGAGTGATCATGTTTCCTGGTTGATAGAAATAATGCTACTCCAGGCCAAGGGAATAAAGTCTGTTTAGAATATAACACAAATATACAAACTGCTGTGCAGTTAACTCCAGGAATTCCTTTAACAGGACTTGAGAGTCCAATTGGTATTAGAAACATGGCTAAGGAAGTTTGTCACCTCCTTGCCCCTGGGTGCTTCTGTAGTTCTCTTCTTTCCCTGCATGGTAAGCAATTGGAAATGCTTAAGAGAAAATGTGTGTTTCAGCATAGAAATACAACTGGTCTGTGAGACCTTTTGTGTTTAGAAAGGTATAAGGATATCTTAACATTAGTGCTTGTCAGGGAGGGTGTCAGTGCTGGAAAAGTGAGTTGGCAGCGCCTCAGGAGGCTAATAAGCAAGATGATATCCATGCTGTTTGGAGAACGAGTCTTCAAGTTTCAACAAATACTTGTATCTTTCTCCAAGCTGATAGAGGGTGTGTTTAAACCGACCTGGCACAAAATGCAGTGGGAAGAAGTGATGCTGGCACTGTGCTACGTTAGGAAACCTGATGTAACCTGTGTAAGTGCATCGTAGAATCAGAACCATAGAATGGTTTGCATTAGAAGGAACCTCAAAGCTCCTCCAGCTCCAACCCTACCATGGGCAGAGACACCTTCCACTGGAGCAGCTTGCTCCAAGCCCCTGTGCAACCTGGCCTTGAGCACTGCCAGGGATGGGGCAGCCACAGCTTCTCTGGGCACCCTGTGCCAGCGCCTCAGCACCCTTACAGGGAAGAGCTTCTGCCTAGGAGCTCATCTCGGTCTCCCCTCTGGCAGGTTCAAGCCATTCCCCTTGGCCTGTCCCTACAGGCTCTTGTCCCAAGCCCCTCTCTGGGGCTTGACAGTAGGTTCTTTTGTGGCTTTGAGGATTTTGCCCTACAAAGCATGTGTGGGGTTGACATTGTTTCCTCACTAGGACACTATAGCAGTTCTGTATCTAAAGGAGCTGTAATGCGCACAAACTGTTTATAATTAACCAAAGCTTAATTCTTCTTGCATAAAGAAGTCCATTATGTGCTTTTCCCTCTTAGTTCTGTGATACTGTTTCACCTAACTTTAAGGACTAACAGTTCTTGGTTTTCCTAACTCTTCCAAACTACTTGCAGGAGATGCTTCCAGTGGTGGTGGTGGTGGGGTGTTTGGGTTTGGGTTTGTTTTCTTTTAATGAGGCCAGGAGAGCACCTTTAGAACTTTTCCATGACAGAAGTGTTCAGCCAACTGTAACTTCATTTTTCCTGCTAAATTACATGGTTTATGGATAACCTGGCAGAGGATGAAAAGGGTAGGGAAGTCAAGGAGTGACTATTTTTCTATATGTCTGCATCTTTACATTCTTTAGCAGGAAGAATGCAAGCCCTGTTTGTAAAACAGTCATCTGTAGGGAGAAAAGGAAGCACAATGCTGGTGGTCGCTGCCTTCCAGTCCTATACTAGTGCCTGAAAGTGTGTTTAGATAAGCTGGTACTGAGGGAGATGATGAATAAAAGCATTTTCTGCTCAAATGGCAACACCTTTACCAGCACAGGGCCATGGGGAGGAGGCAGGTGTGCTCAGTTAGGCTGAATTAAGATCATTCTCCAGGGCTAAGGATGCAGTAATCAATTTGATGTGTGGGTTCTGCTTTATTTACTTAAGAGATGAATACCACTTCAGTTTGGAATGAATGTTTAGCTGATTTTATATACAATCCCAGATGAATCTCTAATATACAAGTTATGCATGTTTGCTCTGTATCTTGTATAACGTGGGCCTCACAGTAAAAATTCAAGTGCTTCTCAAGTGACGGATTCTTTGTTTTGGGGTCTTTCAGAGGAAGGGGGTTGTATCTGGTTCTGCATGATAGCAGAAGGCTTAGCTGTGTGATTGAGTGGTCTATAAACACAGAAAGTCAGTGTATTTCAATCTGTATTTAGTGATCAGTCTATTTCAAAAAGAAAAGCATCAGCAACAGTAACTAGATGAAATAGTGTCAGAATGCTTTTAAGTGTGAACTATACCAAATTTGAAAGAGGACTTGCCATTAATGGTAACTTTATGATAATCCAAACCTGAGTAATAGTAGAAAAATATTTTCCTGGGCTTTCTAAATTAAAATCTCAATTTCTAACGTAGTAGTAAGGCAGTGGGTGTCTGGGGCAAGGAGTCAGGGAGCTGGTCTAGATGATTGTTGTAGTATCATAGAATCCAGACTGGTTTGGGTTGGAAGGGACCTTAAAACTCCTCCAGTTCCAACCCCTGCCACGGGCAGGGACACCTTCCACTGGAGCAGCTTGCTCCAAGCCCCTGTGTCCAACCTGGCCTTGAACACTGCCAGGGATGGGGCAGCCACAGTTTCTCTGGGCACCCTGTGCCAGCGCCTCAGCACCCCCATGATAATGTAATTCCAGTATCATTCAAGAAATAATTCAGGAGTCATAAACAAGTCAACAGGTACTTAAAAGATCACTCAAGATTGCTGCTGCTTCTGCATTTGGTTAAAAAGCCAAATGTCCACAGTGAGCATAAACTACCCTCTGAAAATACTTTAGCTATGGAGACATGCCTAAAGGAGCTCTGACTTGTCTTAAGAAGGAGGATTCAAACAGAAATGTTTCCTGCACCAGCCTGGCTGTATTTTAGGTCCCTTCTAACTGAAGTATTCTATTCTATGATATTCTTCCTGAAAGCCTTGAAAAATCAAGTTGCTGTTTTCTTTGCATATTAATCTGACTCCCAAGATCTATGTCGGTGCCTGCTAACCGTGCCTGACACACAGGTTGGTCTGGCTCAGCACCCATGGTGTGGTTTTGCTCATCAGTGCAGTATCTGGACACCTTGAGGAGTGTGTTGTTATCTTCTGTGCCCATTGTCTCAGCCTTCCACTATGGGTTATGCTGAAGTCCTTTGGAAATGGCGTGGTTTAGTGCTCGGGGTCTGGTTAAACCCACTGCTACCAAGATTAGTCTCCTCAGTGCTGGCTGGGTGCCTGCATGTTTGAAAGATCCAAGTCAGAGGCTGCCTCTGGATTTTGGGAATCATCTCCCTGTGTGCCTGATGGCTCCTTTGACATGCCTGGAGCCGCAGAGGCACAGCAGCAATGGGCAGGGGGATCCGGGATGGTGGCTGCAGGGCTGTAGGAGCAGTTCATACTCAGTTGGTTTTGTGTTACTGTTCATTACTATACATAGGGAGGGATCAGGCCTGATATCCCGGTGTTCAGGGATACACTGAAGGCAGAGCAGTGTTGGCCTCTTCTCCACCTTCTCAATTCTTTTTTAATTATAGAATTGAATAATTGCTTGCAAACCTGTTTGGTGCTCTATCTGTATAATTTACATCTTGATGTAATTAAATGAATACATTAACAGCGTGGACTTGCCATGACACCCAGGATTTTAATAATTCATTGCTAGAGTGATATCTTTATCGCTGAGCCTGATATTAACAACTCATCTCTCAAGTCCTTGCTCTCTCCCAGTAGATTCTGGTCTTACAGAACAAAGGTGCATCCATAGTGCCAGGATAAATAAACCCAGGTCCTGCTCAGGTTGTCTTCTGGTTAGCACCAAGTCTTCCCTGTGTGGAAGAGGGTTCTTGTGGCAGCATTAACACCCACCAGTAAGCATCTGTACTGGTACCCAGCGAGGGTTAAATCCTCCTTCAGCAGGGTCACACCAGTACAGTTTCTTTTCTTCTTCTGGACAAGGGTTTGGGGCATTTTTACGTCTGCACAGGCTTGACCCTCAGTGTACTTAAAGCCAAGCACAGGCCCAAGGCTATTGCAAGAGTGCACAAGCACATGGGGTGCTGCAGTTGCCCAGACCTAATTGTCAATGGGAACATTTTTAACTGTGATCAATTGTAATATTCTTTTTAACTGAAACATGGCAATTTTGTTCTTAAAGGATAATTTTGTTTCCTGTGTCTGCAGCCTGCCTGATAGCCTTAAAACTAGCTGTAATAAATAAGTACTGTGTTACTTGAAAGAGAATCATGTGATAGATGAAAGGGAATCAGTGATACAGGACCTTATCAGAGGAACTTATCAGGAGTTGAACAGCTTTTGCTGAAAATAGCTTGTTAGAGCTCTGTGCTTGATGTTGGAGTTGGAAATGGGGTGAGAGGCATGATGCCTTGCTGACTGGCAGGCACAACTAGCTGACAGAGGCAGACTTCTTGATTTAACAGGCAGTGTCCAGTTATAAATGCACCTCTCAACAGGTTTCTGACTGTGGGCAGGATCTCAGTGGTGTTTCACAAGCTTGGTGGCAGTGCCAGGGGTTCATCTCTGTGGACTTGTACTAGAAAGGTGTCCAAAAGCTGATGCAGTCACAGTTCAGATGTGATGTGTCACTGAGAGATAGGGCACACATGATATGTCTCTCCTCACTGGTACAGCTAGAACCAGGTTGCCATCGCAAACCTGGGGGTTTTGGTCATGCTTTGAGTCATGTCACAAAATAGATTGTGCCCAGAGAGTGAGTTAGCTTACAGAGGTGGATCCGTCCCCCCCATACCATTTTATGCACTAAATCCAAGGCAAAAGGACTGCTTTAAAGGAAAGAGAATAGCATCAACATCCGGTTTTGGCATTAAAACCAGATCTGATGACTCTCTTGCCCGTTGAAACAATCCAAGTCCTGCATTTGTTTCCTATAAGCAAAAGCAACTGGCACTAAAGCATGCTTCTATAAGCTTCCCAGCCTCATGATTCTCTCCCCTCCAGCTTGTTTGGTAATTGTGTGTATGTTGTTCCTTTAAAATAAGCCTGCCTTGACTAGTCAGTGTCTTTGAAAAGCTGGGCAGGCTGAGAAAATGGGGATCATGCTACAGAAACCAGTTCAATAACAGGCATTTTGTAAGAAATTGTTTCCATGTCCCTGAAAAGCTTTTCTTTTTTATGATTAATGTCTATAAAGTATTGTCTATAAAGCTCTGATTTAAAGGAAAAATGCTCTGGTCAGGTATGGGCTTTCTTGCAAGTTCTTTTTAAACAAGTTATTTGATTCAAACAGAGAAACACAACTGTCTAAACTCTTACAGTGAGTAACTACTGGAACAAGCTAGGAGGAATCTCTCCTTCCTCTGGTGAAGGAGGAGCTGTGTATCATAAATATGGTTTAAAATTAGAAGTTGCATAAAGCATATGTTTGATGGGTTTTATTCCAGGAGCAGGAATAACTTTTCTCTCTGTTCTCTAGGGATTTAAGTCATAATCATTTATTGTCATCCAACTGGAGCATTGATTTATCTGTTCCTACACTACAAGAAGTGTAAGTTGGTTTTTATGAGGATAAACTCTGAGATAGCCTACCTAGTTCTAATTAGCACATTTCATTGCATGTCTTGATATCTGGTCTGACTTGTAGAAACATTCAGTGCCAGTTAATTAAGTGGATGCTATATGTTGGCAGCACATTTTATATATAAGACTGATGCTTTGTGAGAAGAAAACTCACTAAAAGATTAGAAGACCATTGTTCAGAAAAGAAATGAGATGTGTTTGTTTTGACTGTAGCTAAACTAAAAAGAAGTAACAGTATCCATGAAATGGTTTAAAAAGCATGCTTTTCGATTAAATTGTTCAGATCGTTATTTAAGCTTTTAGGGAATCCTTTTTGGTCCACTACTAAGTATTCTTAGCAAAATGGTTAAATGCATTCTGTGATATGAACTCCTTCTGCTGGGTACAGAAGGGATTTACTTTGAAGCACCAGTAATAATTTTTCCTCTTTTTTTCTTGTTAAAGGAAAATGAATTACAACGAGCTGAGTGAAATTCCATATTTTGGGGAAACAACTTCTAATATAACTCTTCTCTCATTGTAAGTGATTGCTCTTCTGCCTTGCTCTTAACAAATGGGAGAATTGTATTCGAGTTCTGCTATCAAGTTGTATGAAAACACAGATTCTTTTGTCTTGCAATACTACTCGTCTAAAGTGCTTTAGGGAATATATAAGTGCTCTTTTAAATAAATACAAATCAGTTAGACAATCAAGTCACCCTAAATTACCAATAAAATGCAGTCAACCAAGACAGGCAGCTTTGAAGAGGAGGGATTCAGTCTAGGAATGACAGTTCCCACAAGGAACAGTCCAACTGCAGGCCCCAGAATTTGAATCTGTTCATTTGTCAAGGTGGCAAATAGCTCTTGGATTTTCAGTATTGCCTGAGGAATTGACACTTTGAAGTGTGTGGTACGTGTCCTGTTTAAGTGGCTTTCTAGTAACATTGATAACACAAATCCTAAGCTGTTTCAGCTGTTCAGCTTGAAGGATGAGACGGTTTGATAATCGTATTTGTTACTTGTGTTTTCCAGGGTACACAATACCATTCCAGAAATAAATGCTGAGCAACTCCAAGTTTACCTTTCACTGGAAAATCTAGATCTTAGTTCTAATCTGATCTCAGAAATTAAAGCTTCTTCTTTTCCACGGATGCAACTGAAGTACCTGTAAGTAAGAGTGAGCTGTTACATTTTGGATTCCTGGCTCTACAACAATAATGTTGAAGACCTCATCTACTCCAGATTACTGTCTTAAAGCAGGCAACCTTGTGTGGTTTTGAACTGGTAGCAGTGCTTAATGTAGCTGCAGATGTGCTTGAAAACACTTTTCATACCAATCTGTATTGCAGTTTCTCAAATAGTATGGAAAACAGTAACTGCTGTTGTCAAAATCCAGGTATTTCAGCCAGCAGGGACATGGAATGGTTTCTGCCCAGTTTGAGTAGATCACTGTTGACGTTGTCTTAACTATGTCTAAGCAAAGCATGAGCATGCAGTAAAAATTAGCTCCTAGCACTGCTTCCTTTGGGAAAAATGATTTAGTTTGATATACCAGAATTTGGATTTGTGATGTGACTTCATGCTATTAGAACTTGAGTTCTTATAGCAAGTGGTCGCCCTGAAGTGCTTGTGCAGTTGTGTTCATAAAATTCTCCATGTTCTGAAAGTCCTCTTTCCCTCTTCCTCTCCTAGGAATCTGAGTAACAACAGAATAACTACTCTAGAAGCAGGCTGTCTTGATAACTTATCTAGCTCACTGATGGTGGTAAAGCTGAACAGGAACAGGATTAGTGTGATTCCACCAAAGATCTTCAAACTGCCTCATGTGCAGTTCCTGTAAGTAGCAGTCTTGAAAGCTTAAAAATACAGTGTTTACAGCTGTGTTGCTCATCTCAGTATGCATTCTTGACTTTCACAAAGTGGTGCTTATCAAAATCTGTCTTAATATTTGAATGTGATCTTTATTAAAGGGAACTGAAAAGGAACCGGATTAAAATAGTGGAAAGTCTGACATTCCAAGGACTGGAATCGTTAAAATCCTTGAAAATGCAGCGCAATGGGATTAGCAGACTAATGGATGGAGCATTCTTTGGCCTGGGTAATATAGAAGAATTGTGAGTATGCCTAGTCATGGAATTTCTTTTAGGGATTCTAGCTGTGGAGGGTTGTGTCCTGTATAGCTTCCATTGCATCAAAGTTGTACCAAGATAGTGATGAGTATCCCAGGAGATGAGTTTAAAGATCTGTGTTTTCCCATTATTTTGATATCATGTCTGGTTACTTCAAGATGGAAAGATGTTGCCTCTCTCCCCAGTTCTTCCCACTTGCTGATCAAGAATACTTTTGACTCTATAGGTTTCTTTTGCTCTCCCCATAACATGGGTTCTTGCTGTGTGACTGTTGGACAGAGATAGCACAAGGGCATGCCATGCAGTGTTAGCAGAAGACTTTCAAAACAGAAGTAATCTTTGAGAACAGAGATTACAGTTCTGCTTCTGCCACTGGATCACTGCAGCTGCTGTGGTTACTCAGTTCCTCATATGCTTCAGTTCACTCTTTTGGTTTCAGGTTAATGTAATCATGCATTTCAGGTGGCCTGAGGCTTAATGTTAGTAAATCGTTTGCAATCCACAAGGTGAAATTTTGTAAATATATGTTTCATTGATTATCTATTTGGCAAATGTTTTCCCTTCTAATTCTGTAGAGAACTGGAACATAATAACTTGACAGAAGTAAACAAGGGCTGGCTGTATGGCCTGCGGACATTGCAACAACTCTATGTTAGCCAGAATGCCATTAACAGGATCAGTCCAGATGCATGGGAGTTCTGCCAAAGGCTTTCCGAGCTGTAAGTCCTGGGATGCTTTTCACTGGGGGTTTTGCAATGTTGCAGTAACAGATTGGATGGCACGTGTGTAGCAAGAATGAATTACCAAAGAAAGTACTGGATTTCCTTGTTAGGCCCGTGGTAATGCTCTGTGTTTTACTTATATTTGTAAATGTTCCGTTAGAGAAATTAATCAAACCCAGTTGTTAATCAAGTTTGATAGTGTCTTCATAATTAATCCCCCCTCTATTTGCCTTTAAATGCTTTTAGAGACTTGTCATACAACCAACTAACTCGCCTCAGGGAGTCTGCCTTCATGGGACTTGGTCTATTGGAGAAGCTAAACCTGGGTGACAATCGCATCAGTCACATTGCTGATGGTGTCTTTCGAGGTCTGGCGAATCTTCGAACCTTGTAAGTACAGAAAGCTTCTAGGGGAAGTCTCAGTTTAATCAGTGAAGGTTTTGGAAATAAAGACAATGAATATCACCCTGTGCAAGGCTGAGATCAGTGTTTTGGCATTGATGTATGCTCTCCTGCCTGTGTGGTGGGGCTGATGATCTTTTGGTCTGCAAGATAACAGAATTCTGGCCCACCTAAAACAAACCAACCAGTTAATTTTAGTGGTGGTAAGAAAGAGAGGCTTGATAACCTCGAGTGCCCAGGTGCATGTCATACTGGTTCTGAGAAAGTGTGAATAGTCAGCTTGCATAAAAGCTGGTTGTGGAGCAAATGGTCAACACAGACCTCTCTTTATTCCAGAGGGTTTTGTAAGGGTTGGAACCTCAGAAGCAGTGTGGTGAACCCTTCTGCTTGCAGAAGGTAAGGTTTAGCCCACCCTGCTTGTGTGCTGAAGTCATAGGCATGGCATTTAAGAGGAGTGTGGGGTTACCTTTTGCTGGCAGAGGCACAGCTCTGCACTTGCCAGGACCTTTTGTAGCAGCTGCAGCTGTTTTAGTATTTCTGACAAGAAAAGACTCAATCCTGACTCTTAATAAGAAAAAAAAGTAGTGTCCCAAGTAGATCTGAGCAGTTTGGAATCACCCTAAACAATGATAGCAGAGAAAGGAGTGAAAGTTTATAACCCCTCTGTCAGTTCATTAAATAAATGCTTAAATAAGCAAACTCACCAGAGAGATTTATGTAAGCAGTCAGATTCTGTTAACCTGAATGCAACCTTTTAATGAAATAATTAAAACTAATTTCTTAGATTTAGAGGAGCATGAAAAAGAACAAGAGCAGATTAATTAGTAGGTTTTCCTGGGCTCCTCAGGCTCAGCAGCCGTGAGGTTGGCCATTTGCTTCAGGGTTGGAATGTGCAGGAGCAGGGCAGTGGTGATTAACAAGGCTCCAAGCATTCGTGCCCAGCCAAGCATGAGGAGCCAACTCCCCAGCTCACACAATGAGGGACTTTTCTTTTTGGGCTGCTCACTCATTTTGCTAAGTGGTCTGAGTAGTGGAGTGTAAAAGTACTTCAAACAACTGGAGATGCCTTGCTGCTGTCGGATTAGTTCCATTGTTGTTTGTACACTGGTTGTTTCAGTGCTAAAGCTGATGTAAATATTTCCCTCTATGCTCAGCTCCTGCCTCTTTTCTGCAATGTGGCTTTAATTAGCAAGAATAAACTGTAAAACTGTGTATTAACCACAAGGTAGTACGGGCAAAGGTAGGATTAAAGGTTTATCTAAAAGTAATATTGAAGTTTTGAAGTTTTACATCTAACTGTGGTACTTACTTCATACTGCTGTGAGTAACTTGGCATTGATACCCTCCAGCATCCACAATCCAAAATTTTGAAGTAGACCTGGAAAGAAATGTAGAAACAAGTTTCAAATCACAAGAATTAGCAACCTGGTAATAAATTGAGCATATTCTTCATCTACTCATTCTTATCACATCTATGTCAAATACCTGAGGAATTTTCAGAGAGGAAAATACTTAATGGGAGCAAGTATCAAAGCCATATTTATTAAGACCTTTTGATGCATGAGTCATTCTCTTTTTGTCCTAAACACTAAAATTTATCTCTATTAATTGTGGAAATGACTACCGTGTGGTGTTAAGAACAAGACTCCCATATTCCAAAGTAAGGAAAATGAGAAAACAGTGTGTTACCACTGACAGTGTCCTGGAGGTTGATCCCAGTCTCTTCCAAGATGCTGTTCTACACAATTTATAGTCTCACCCGAGAGAAAGTAAATACATTTTTCCACCATTGGCACAAGAAATGAGGTGTTTGTGAGATACACAATTGCCTGTATATGTAGCTCTCTGTCAGTTGACTTTGTTTTGGTATCAGAACAGAAAAACTCTGGCTTTGAGAGAAACTCTTCAGTCCATCCCATTCAGGCTAAAACCGCAACTTAATTTATTTCTTCTTCTCTCTAAAAAGCATTTAATCCACTCCAAACCATATTGCTATATTGGTTTTGCTGTTTAGGTCGCTCTTCTATGTGAGGGGCCAAAGTGCTGTGCAGAGGTCAAACAGAAATGCCATTAGCTGGTAACAAGATTTGTGAACACAATATCAACTCCATTTGAAAATCAGCTACTTTGTGCCTGGCAGCCTTTACACTGTAACCTGTGTGTAATCTCTTAATATGCTAATGCTGCTATAAGCCTGTTACTCGGGAAGATTAACGCTGCTGGTGTATTAGTAAATTCACTTACATGAACCAACTTGCTTCAGGAGCCTCTCCCAGCTTCTGGTAAATAGTCCATCACATGAGCAGTGGTAGTCAGACTGGGTCTTTCCTTCAACACCACATCAAGAAGTTGTGCTGCAGAATTTGTTTGTGGTTCTGTCTGCGGCGCTGATCTTAAGCAGTTCTGTTTTCCCTTGCATCTCTGAAATGAGATATTCATCTCCTGACAAGCTTAGTTTTAGAAAGCTAATCTTTAGAAAAGATCTGAGACCTTCCAGGTGACACTGTGCCAGAACACCAGAGCTGGCTTGTACAACAGGAAATTCTTTTCCCTAGCTGGCCACTAGCAGTGGTCATGATGATGTTACAAGGCTTCTTTATGAGAAAGCTTTTCTCCTGCAGGGACTTGCGGAACAATGAGATCTCCTGGGCCATAGAAGATGCAAATGAAGCATTTGTGGGACTCAGCAGGCTGGATAAACTGTACGTATTAAACACCTGGGATGGCAGCACTTCCCAGGCATGCAGAGTAGAGGGAGAGTTTGTAAATCAGCAACAGGAAGCAAAACCCTTTTCTAGTTGGCAGCTGTATTCAGTGTTTCCACTTCTGTGCTCCAGCCTCCTGATACAGGCTTGAGTTCCATGTTCAGCAGCGTCTGTACCACTGGGTCACCTTGCAGCACCAATTTGAACAAATTAAGCATAAGTACTTGATTGCATTTCTTACTGAATAGCCTGGTCCTGCTGTGTGGCAATTGTCACCTTTTGTGCTGCTGTAGTTTGGGTAAAAGTTACTGCTTACGAAAAACCCCAAACAAACCAAAACACAGCACAAAGTATTATTTACCAGATATGAAATACTGTTGAATTAATAGCTTTTCAGTACTTTGACTGTGCATTTTTCATCCAGTGCCTTGTAGTGCCTTCCTTTGTAGGAAGCTCCATCCTGCAGAGCTACAGGCATTGTTTATAACAAATAGCTTGGCATGAGGCTACAGTCTCAGGGACTAATGTGATTGTGACAGATTGGCATTAGGAAGTTATTGCTCCACTCCTGAGTTCTGCTTAGCGCTGTTTCATTCTCCTGACTTGAATTATCTTCTGACACATCTCTGACCAAAATCTCTAAGTTAAGAATGGAAAAGAAACCCTGTTCTTGAGAAAAGTAGTTGAGCTTTAAGCTATAAAACTAGTATTTGATCTTTTAGCTCAGCTATAATTAGAAAAAACATAGTTAAATATCATAGGGAGCTTTTTTTGGTCTTACTTGTGAGCTCATTGACATTCAAACTTGTTTCTGGGGCTTGGGGGCTTTGTCTTTCAGAATCTTGCAAGGAAACCAGATTAAGTCAATTACCAAAAAAGCGTTCTCTGGTCTTGAAGGACTTGAACATCTGTAAGTACTTTACCTTGCAGAACTTCTGAGTATTTGCCAACTTCAGTCTTGTGTTACCTGTCAGATATTCAAGAATCTAACTGAAGGTAGCATGTGAAACCACTACTTACCCATTATTGTTCTGTTTGCTTAATTTCTAGAGATTTAAGCAACAATGCAGTAATGTCCATCCAGGAAAATGCATTTGCACAGGCTCACCTGAAAGAGCTGTAAGTTTATAACAATTACTTTACAGATTCTTTACGAGTCCTACCTTGTAGATAAACCTAAAATCCTTCAACCATTGTAGGATTGACTGGAGTGTGTCTGCTTTCATCATGAAATATTGCAAGCAATGCTGGTAAATGATAATGTATGACTCAGAATTGGTAGCAGTATCCTTAGATTTAAGGTTTGATAAAATGTGCACCTCCATCACCTTGATTGCAGTTGGAAAACACTTTCTTCTTGCAGTGCTGAACCATGAAGTTTTTCATATCTCATGGGTTTGCAGCGAGCTCAGCACATGCTAGGATGGAGATGGTGAATAAAGGAAATAAGTCATCGTCTTTCATTTTGGGGAAATTTGGCTTTAAAAGTCACAACTAGACAAGAATTTTTACTTACTTAGCAGATGCTTAAAGTTGTGATCTTCACACATTCCAAGTATAATGTGAAGTGCCCTTCACACCCAAGACTAATCCTACTGTAACTCAGTCATCTCTATGAGATAAAGTCTCTGAATATGGTGTAATCTGTTTTAAATCTGTTACTCCATTAGTTAATCTTGGCCAGATGGACTTAGTCTGCAAGGTCTGCCAGATTGAGGAGACACCTAAACCAGAAGACTTTCATTGCTTTCTCTAATGTGTCTTAAAAGGGAGGAACTGTTGGCGTGCATGGGCAAAGAGCAGGATGGAGTCCTGGCTTGACTGTATGCCTCTGGTTACTGCTGGGTTCATCTCGTGGCAGATCACTTCTTGTTGAAGTGTTGGGCTTTCCCTAGTCAGTCATACTGATACATAACATTTAGAAAGCTTTGAAAGCAGGTAATGGGGAAAAAGTGACCCAACATTGTTTCCAGCTTAAAGGTCTTCTTTGGAGTAGAGAAAACAATCTGCAGTAGATAACAGTATGAAACAAATCACTTTCATTCTTAAGTATTTATTAGCTGGCACGAAGATGAGTATTGAGGCTTACACTCATTTCATAATGGCAAGTGTGTTGAGTTGGAGACACTGCTGCTCTGAAGTGTTATGTTCCTTTTAACTGCTTTTAAGAGGGATGGGATAATTGCAAAGACAGGCTTAGTTTGTCTTTTAGGAGTTGAAAATCCAAAGTTGTTTTCTTCAGGATGAATAATAAGTGTAAGATTTTAGTGCTGACATAGAGGGAAGGATTTTCTGGATTGCTGATAGCCTGTATAGCTAACGTTTGGTAATAAATACCCATAGGCATAAAAGGATACTATGGATCTTGACATTTCTGAACATATGTGCTTTAAGTTGTTTTGCTGCATGAAATCACATGTAGGAAATACATAAACTTTAATCCCACTTCTGTTTTGCCTTGTCTCTGCAGAGTTTTGAACACTAGCAGCTTGCTTTGTGATTGCCAGTTGAAATGGCTGCCACAGTGGCTCACTGACAGCCATTTACAGCAGGCTGTAAATGTTAGCTGTGCTCATCCAGAGTGGTTAGCAGGACTAAGCCTTCTCAGTGTGGACCCTGATGACTTTGTCTGTGGTTTGTATTTTTAATGACTTTTGATATAAAAAAACATGGTTAACACAGATCTGTGCAGGTACCGTTCCGAAATCAGGCTGTGGCATTGCTGGAGGTGTTTGGTCTTGGCCATAGTGCACACTTGGGCCTCTGTACATCACTGGGTCTGCTTTGGAGTTTGGGATATAATTTCTGTTTCTTTTTGATTTGTTGTCTTTGAGCACTGAAGCTAACCTGAGGGAGTAATTCTGTGAGAGTGCAGTGGTTTTCATGTAGGTTACTGTTACAAACTGATAATGCTTCCATTCCTCCTGCTTATGAATGCCTTTAGCTTGGGAAGGGCTGTTTGACACTTCCTTAGTAGTCCATACCAGCAAGAGCAGAGTCATTAATACTCTGGCCCATCTTCTCATGCCCTATAGCTGTGATGTTTATCTGGCCTTTGCCACCACCCTTTCAGACAAAAGCCTGTTTATTTTTGTAATGAACTGTGGGATGGAACACTGAGTGTCTCTTTGCCCAGAGTCATGTGTGAAGTCTGTGGCAAGGCTCTTCAAGATATTTAAATTACCTGAGAATAAGTCTCAGGCCTTCATAAAACAGCCTGGGTTTTCAGCTGAGCACAGCTTTTGTGTGTGATCTAAATATAGCAAGCTCCAGACAGTTGTACAAAATGCTTCTCTGCTGATTGTTTTCAACTCTTATTCTGGTAACTACCTGTGGTTCTAATCCTCTCTCACAGCTTGATTTCCAGCTGGAAACAGCTGAGTATGTGCACTTCGAGCAGGACATGTGTTTCCAAAGCTTGCTCTATGCTTAGATTGTCTTTATAGTGAGTTTTCTTGCAATATTAATTGCAAGTTGACAAGGAAGTAGCTCATCTCCGTGCTTTTATTTCCAGATAACTTCCCTAAGCCGCAGATAAGAGTGCATCCTGAGACCAGAGTTGCTCTGCGAGGCATGAATGTGACTCTGACTTGCACTGCTGTGAGCAGCAGCGATTCACCCATGTCCACAGCTTGGCGTAAAGACAGTGAGGTGTTGTATGATGCAGAGGTGGAGAATTTTGCCAGGTACCAGCAGCAGGGTGGTGAGGTGGTCGAATACACCACTGTCCTGCACCTTTTCAATGTGAATTTCACTGATGAAGGGAAGTATCAGTGCATCGTCACCAATCACTTCGGCTCCAATTATTCCAACAAAGCCAAGCTGACTGTCAATGGTAAGCAATAATGGTAACAAAGGAGAAATACTTGCAACCTAAGGCTTTATTTAAATAGCTTCAAGTCTATTTTTCACTGGAGCTGGCCCAAAATAGTCTCTCAAGACTGTCTCACTGGTATTTAGATGTGTTAAGTGTCATTTTATAAAGCAGGAAAGAAGTGATTTTTTTTTTGTGTGGGTGAAGAAACTTGTGTTCACTTTCAAAAGGGGCCGATATATCCCATGTTTTCAGAGGTGGAAGTCTCTTAAACTAAAAGCTCCCTCTGCTGTCTCTTCAGAACTAAGCACCTTTTCCCATGTGTTAAGCTAGGGAGGATTCAAGGAAAATGGAATGGTGGGACTGGAAGCAGACTCTGAAAGATCAATTCTGAAGTCCTTTATTTGTAGCCATCATGATTCTTTTTATTCTGGCTTGAGCGAAAAAGAAGTAAGGCAACGTTCACATCAGTCAGTAGACCACTAATCCCCATTGTATCTGGGAGCAGAGCTGATTTTGCTCATCCAGAACAGATAATGCAGACTTGGACTGATGAGATAGAAGTTCACCTTCCCTTTTACAAGGGAAGAAAAAATGTGGCAAAGGGCTTGTGAAGGCTACACCTTATCCCTGTCTTTCCCCCATGAGAAACGTCCTTCAGATCATCTTAAATGGGCACTATAGATCCTATATTTAAATTTGAGGAAAGGCTGTTAGAAATCATCATTGGAAATGCATGCAGTTCTCAGGAAAATCTGCCCCTCTCAGGGAAAACTAGAGGCTGTTTCAGATTTGTTTTCAGATATTCTCTGTGCTGTGAAGTACTGAAACCACTGAAACTAATCTCCTTTGCTCCAGAGCTACCTTCTTTCCTGAAAACCCCCATGGATCTCACTATCCGCACCGGGGCCATGGCCCGGCTGGAGTGTGCTGCAGAGGGTCACCCTACTCCACAGATCTCCTGGCAGAAAGATGGTGGCACAGACTTCCCCGCTGCAAGAGAGAGAAGGATGCACGTCATGCCTGAGGATGATGTGTTCTTTATTGCAAACGTGAAAATAGAAGACATGGGAATCTACAGCTGTATGGCACAAAACATTGCAGGTGGTTTGTCAGCAAATGCCACGCTGACTGTGTTAGGTAAGTGGTGTGCTAATCTGTGCTTGCATGTGGAGCTCTTCGCCTCTGCAGTGGTGTGGTGTAGTGTAGCTGCAAGATGAAGTCCTAAAGAATGAAGTAAAACATGAGGAGCAGCACTGGGCATGGTTTCTGAACAGTGAAGCTTTAGCAGCTAAGCTGCAGTGCTGACTGGTGAAGTTAGTATGATTTTTGCAGAAGAGAGCTGAGGGACATACCACAGTCCAGCAGTGCAGACTGGAGAATTTGTGTTGCCTCACAACAAATGCCATTGCAAGTAACATGAACTGTGTTGAGTGATAATGGAATGACAGTTCCTCTAGAATGCAGAATTTATGAAGACACTGACTTTTACCATTATGGACATACACAGATTTAGAATTGAATATGTAAAGATATGTATTTGGCTGAATAAAGAAGATTGGCTGAGAAGGTTGGGACTGTTCAGCCTGGAGAAGAGAAGGCTGCATGGAGACCTCAGAGCAGCTTCCAGTATCTGAAGGGGACTTGCAGGGATGCTGGGGAGGGACTCTTCATTAGGGACTGTAGTGATAGGACAAGGGGTAATGGGTTAAAACTGAAACAGGGGGAGTTTAGATTGGATATAAGGAGGAAATTCTTTCCTGTGAGGGTGCTGAGGCACTGGAATGGGTTGCCCAGGGAGGTTGTGAATGCTCCATCCCTGGCAGTGTTCAAGACCAGGTTGGACGAGGCCTTGGGTAATATGGTTTAGAGCAAGATGTCCCTGCCCATGGCAGGGGGGTTGGAACTTGATGATCTTAAGGTCCTTTCCAACCCGAACTGTTCTATGATTCTATGATTCTATAAAGCAGACTGTGGCTAACATGTAATTTGGGGGATGTTTGCTGTACCCCATTGGCTGCAGTGATCCATAGAACTCATAGGACTTCCTGAATCCTGTCCTTGCCTGCCAAGTTTAGGTTCAAGTTGTAAGATCAGGTTTCTGGATACCATGGAGTACACACAGTGAACTTCCCTTACCATTTACTGCCTTTCTTTTCTCCACTATCCCAGAAACTCCTTCCTTTATGAGGCCCTTAGAAGACAGAACTGTGACCCGAGGTGAAACTGCTGTCTTGCAGTGCATAGCTGGTGGCAGCCCTGCCCCGCGCCTCAACTGGACAAAGGACGATGGCCCTTTGACAGTCACAGAAAGGCATTTTTTTGCTGCGGCAAATCAACTCCTTATCATTGTGGATGCTGGCTTAGAGGATGCTGGGAAGTACACGTGCATTATGTCCAACACACTGGGCACTGAGCGGGGCCATATTTACCTAAATGTCCTGGCTTCCCCAAACTGTGATTCTTCCCAGAGTGGCATTATCCACGAGGACGATGGCTGGACAACAGTGGGCATTGTGATTATCGTGGTGGTGTGCTGTGTCGTGGGAACCTCCCTGGTATGGGTTATCGTCATCTACCACATGAGAAGGAAGAGTGAAGATTACAGCATCACTAACACAGGTAAAGTGCAGAAGCCTCTTAAAATCAGCCCTATTTTTAATACAAAACACTTAAGAGGGGTGAAATGTCTGGGATCATTACAGATGGATAAAATTGAAGGAATTAGGGGTTTCTTCTAAAATCTTCAGGGATTTGCTCAAACTCCTTCATTTTAGAGTTGTTTGGGTTTTTTTTTAGTATCAAGTGTTTATTTTGTTCCTTGTACGCTAGATTTGTTCTACATGGAGAGAAAGCAGTAAAGTTTTGGAAATAAATATTTGAATAAGCTTAAAATTGTTTTCAGGACCTGGGATAATGTGTGTAAAGTTTCATTCTGACTCTCTTAGTTTTGAACTAATGATACGGATATTTAACAGAGGCTGAGAAAAGATAACTCCTGAGTTGAACTTCTGGGTGACAGTTTTCTTTATGTGCTTAACAGTGTTGGTACTACTTTGAGATCTTCCCTTAGCTGTTAATGTCATCAGTGTTAATTCTGCCTTGCAGAGGAGATGAACCTACCGGCAGACATTCCCAGCTATCTGTCTTCCCAAGGAACTCTGTCAGAGCCTCAGGAAGGCTACAGTAACTCAGAGGCAGGAAGCCATCAGCAGCTTATGCCTCCAGCTGGTAGCTACGTGCATAAAGGCACAGATGGTAAGCAGAGCCCTCGTATGTATTACTTGTGTTCCAGCAGGATGCCAGTGCACGGTCTTGTCCTCACAGCTGGCTGCAGTATTGCACAACGCTCTGTAGTACTGCATTATTAACATGGAAGGTGACTTTTCCTAGAGGAGAACTTGGGTTGATCTGAAACTTTCCATCCTGAGTTTGAGGTGTCTCATTTTCTTCTAGTGTTTGTTAATATTCTGCTATCGAGGCACTTCTGCATTCCATGTGTGCTGTTTAATCTTTGGTCCAGCAACACCTGGGCTCACTTCTGCTGTGAGTGCCTTTGCATGTAGGTGTCATGACTGCTGTCCTTCAGGTGCCAGAGTAATACAGTTCCCTCCAGAGATTCTTTGATTCATGGTTTGTGATCTGTACAGCAAGGTGGGGATGCTATTAGGGAATTCCTAGGTTAAATGTCAAGGTACATTTTTATGCTGTTTCTTTGGGCATCTCAAGAGTCCAGGCAATAGAGGTGGAAATAATTTGTTTGGAAGGTGACTTGCTGTACCATTTGTCCTTGGCATAAAATTACTGCCTCTGCCTAACATAGTCTGCATAACTAAAGGGTCTGCAGTTTATAGCTGGACAACTTCAGGGTGTTTTGTCATTGAGTAAACAGTGATGCTATCTTCTACCATCCAAATGCTGAGGATCTGTTCAATCTTTATATAAGCTGGCTTTTGAAAGTGATCCTTCAGATCTAGACTCTACACTAGAGTCTTATCAGGAAGGAGCTGAGAAGCATCTCCTCTTGATGACCACTTTATTATCTGGACATGAAGGATGCCAGTCTGGTACAAGAGCATAATTTGACATGGATAGGTATCCTGGTGTTGATTCCAGGGCTGTTTCAGCCTGGTGCCCAAGCTGGTTGGACCTGCATTGAACAGGGGAGCAAACATGAGATTGCTCACGCTCATGTCCATGGTTTTCCACGGGTCAGCCTTAGAAGGGCAGTGTTATGGAGACTTTGGGTGGTGGGGAACCTAAAGCATTTCTTCTGTGACTTCTTCAGTTAACAGTCAAGCTAAGTACTCTGTTACCATGTTAACTGTATAACAGACATGATCATACGAAGACATGAAAAGAGTCTGGGAATCAGCATCCTTATCCTCTTTGAGAGTATTTTGGTTTCTCATTGTGTTTATCAGGTGGTGCAGCACCACTGGTGATCTGCTCAGACTGTTACGACAACGCAAACATCTACTCCAGGACACGAGAGTACTGTCCCTATGCCTACATCGCAGAAGAAGACCCCCTGGATCAAACTCTCCCTAACCTCATGGTACAGATGTCTAAGGAAACATATACAGCACGCACCCAGCATGAAACCAGTACCTTGGATAATCTCTTAGCAGACAGAGACATGTCTGTCTTCCTTACCAACCATGACAAAATGAGCGAAAAGAAAATCTCCTCCCAGCAGATCAATGGTGAGTGTCCTCTTTTTCCTTGTGTTGCTTTGTATTCCCTGATAACTCCAGTCTTCTTTGTGCTACCCTTCCCTATTGACACACAGCTAATTCTCACGTCTTTAATGTTCTCAGAACTAGCCCTCAGTTGGCGTCCAGTACCCAACAGTTGAAGAGGGTGATGTGAAAAAGATGGTATTTCTTAATCTGCAGTTTGTCTCTTAAAGCTTGTGGAATGTGATCTTTTACATGTGCTTCAAGGGCATCTATTAGCCAAGAGCTTCACTAAGAAATTCCAACAGGCCTTCTGTTTGAGCTGGCCTGGTTTTCAGAGAACTCCAAGATGCCTTTTTTTTTTGGTACACTGATGCTGACTTTCTTCCAGGTACCCTTTTCAAAGTTCACACTGAAACAACACTCCGTGTGCTGTTTCTGCTTGCTGTAACAGCTTGCTGAAAAGGGAGAGCATCCAATAGAACACAGACTCGTAGAATCACAGAATGGATAGGGTTGGAAAAGAGAAAATAACCTCAGAAAGACTGATACTGGAGCGGCATGACTCTGGGAATCCGTCTTAAAATTTGGCTGTGTTGAGCATGAACTAACTCCTCTTCTAATTTCTTCATTTCTCTTCCCCAGAACCCTTCCAGCTTCCTCTATGGGGAGTGAACAAAGACATGGCTCTCCCTCACTCCCACTTCCTGCATCAGCAGCCAGGCCGGGAGACCCCACGGCCTCCCCACAGCGAGGGTGCTGCTGCCAGCACCCGGGACCAGGCGGCTCCATCCGGAGCCTGTCCCAGCGGCCGGGAGCGGAGCTTTGATTTTAACAGGACACACAGCATTCATGACTATAGTGAAACCACGTAAGACACTTAAATGGAGTCTTGAAAGCAAATCTGTACCGACTGACTTGTATTTACTACCTCAGGACTAACCCCAAGGCCAAAGATGCTTGTGTATGTGCGTCTGCAGTCACGGGCTGGCTAAACAGACTGTTTAGGAGGAGGTGGCACATGCTCTTTTCCCCTGCATTTCTGTGGATTGGAAGATGGGAATGTGTAACAGAATACATGGATGATTAGTGCTATCTACAGTAGCATTAAAATGAGGATTTTCTGATGCTGGAAGCAGCCTTTGTGTTGGTGCATGCTTTGAAGATCCCTCAAGAATGCATAGCTATTTCCCACTGCATTGTGTGCTTGAAAACAAATGTTCAGGGCCTCCTCATGGAATTCTCCAGTAACTGTAAGCATAAAATTCTTGGCCAGCTTTTTGTTCCTTAGGCTGTTAGCAGGCCCCTGTCACCAGTCTGACTTTGGGTCTTGTTTTCTCCTATGAATAATGGACTCTAGTTGTAAATAAATTTGCATTTATAAATATTTTGTATACACTAAGCGTATAAATGTGTTGGCTGTAATGTAAATAGATTTTTTTATTATACCAAAGTCTGTATCATACTGTTACTCTGGACAGCTGTGTATCAAACCATATGGGGTTGTTGGTGGGACTGGAAGCTTCTTTCTGAGGGGATAGAGCTGTCTTTGGTTTGGAAAGCAGTGAATTTACTATGGATATATGGTGAAACTGTGATATTGATGAATTTCATTGTTCTGTACAGCTCTGCATGCATTGAGCCTGGCTGACCTGACTGCAAGCATCTCACAACAGAGCAGAATTCCGAGTTTGATCTGTTTCAGTGTTGAGAAAGTCCTTAAATCTCTGTATTAGGCACCTGTCTTGTCCAGTAGAGCAAAAAGCCCAACAGAGTCTGCATTACAAGCAGCGTTATTCCGGTATTCCTGGCTGTAGTATCCAGCTTCCATGAAGTTCTTGTCAAAAGCAAACAAAAGGAGCAGTGCACTACCTGCCTCCTCCTGGTTCCCTGGGAAAATGGGAGGTCTGAGTGGTTTGTTTCAGGAGTTTATCTAAGCTTTTATCTAAAAACCAGCCTGTGTATTGTGTGTGTTGCAGATGTCTCCATGTCTTTTTCCTAGCTGGCAGTTAAGGGAACTTTTTAAAGGAATGTTGTGATGGAAAGCATCAGATGAATGGGAAAAGCAGTTGCTGAGTACTTAGTGCAGTATGCCATGGATTTTCTGTTTCCTCTGCATAAAGACTTCCTGGAAAAAAAATGCCCCTTTGTGTAGGAGGTGTTACTCACCAGGGATGGGTTTTCAGCAGGTACCTTGTGCTCGGTGCTAGTGCTGCTACATTAGGTTGTGTACTCACTCCTGAAGAGCAAGGAGCTTTCTCCCTGGTCATTGTTGCATTTTTCCAAGCTGTAGGATAGGAACTGAAATGAAAACAGCCATGTGGTGCATTTTATATACTTATAAAGACAAACCCCTCTTCTGACCAGGTATGTAAGGCTTCCCACCAGTCCATTCCTCAGTGGAAGCGGGCATGATTGGAGTATCTGATGCAGTCATGCAGAATCACAGCTCAAACTTGTGAGACTGTGGATTATTTGAGTAAATGAGTGAGGGAAAACTGGGAATAATGATTATTTTCCCACTGCTCTTTGGCCATGAATAAGAGTCAGATCTATACAAATGAGCTAGTATTATCATGGGCTCAGCATGCTCTCAAAGCAACCATGGTTGTTTGACAGCCAGCGGCTTTAGTAGGAAGAGGATCCAATTGTCCTTGACCTCTGGATAAGGAAGGGAGAAGCACAGGTGTGTTAAACTCTTTTTGGGCTCCGACACCTGGAATGTTGTAATAACATACATGCCAAAAGAAGAATCTTCAGTTCATTCCTTTCTGGTTTCTATTTCCTCTGGCCTTTTCCTTTCCAGACAGCATCTGAGACATGGTGCTTATTTCAATCCAAAGTTATCTCTTGCAGGAACCCAGTACTGTCAGTTTAAATCCAGATGAGAAAGGTCATGCCATGAAACTACAGCAGCAGAAAAGCCTCATCCGTTGGGCTGTTCACTGCCTTCTCCAGCTCTCATCCCAGGCTGTAGTGGCTGAGTGCTGCTCAGCATGTGCAGAGCCAGGATTCCCACCAGCACCTTCCTGCTGCTCTGTCTCCCGTCACCCTTTGGCAAATGGTAAAGTTTGTTACTTTGCCTTTCATCCCCCTCTCCTGTGGAGCTGAAGCTAACACAGATCTGTCACAGTGCAGCTGTTGATGTGAACCTCAGGTGTACGCTGGGCATAACTCCCTACTGCAATTGAATTCCCTTTAAGTAGGTAAGATGTGCTTGGCCAGGATCAAGGCTTTAAAATCCATGCTGCCTGCACCAGGAGCCGAAGCTGCACTGATTTCTGTGAGGTACTGGCCTATAAAACTTGCTGTTATGTATTAGGACATTTGCATCCTCCCATGAGCAATGATCTCTCTTTCAAGTGCATAAGCTGGTTGTAAATAGCTGAAGCTTGTAAGTAGGTGAACACTTTGCTGTGCTTAGCATTGCTGGAGAAACTTCCTGAGTAGACTTGCAGAAGAAACCAGGTCTCTTTTCTGCAGGACCTCCACTGTTCCCACTAAACACAACCAGTTTCTTCAGTGAAAGCCAAAGCACCAGGAGCTGGGGGTTCCTGAGAGAGCGTGGGCAAAGCTGCCCTTGTGCCCTGTTGCTATTGCCTAATGTCTATTTATGTCTTTTTTTTCCACATAAGAATGTATATTTTGTATAGCATGTGTAATATACGTTTGTCTATTGTAATATACCTTCAGTCAATAAAAAGCTACGTACATTGAGCATCTGGCATTAGCTGCAAGTGAAATCGTTCATTTTTGTTCTATGATATTTAATTTTCATAGGGGGATAAAGTACAGTCAGACTTGGTTTCTGGATGTGTTCCTGTGCAGGTGGCTCCAGGTGCCCCTGCTTGGGCAGAGGGTGGGACAAGGTGACCTCAGCCTGAAGCCGCCTCTGACTGTGATTCTTTCCTGTTTACCTGTAGGAACACCCTGTGCCCTTTCCTGAAGATGCTGTTGCTTCTCCCACGGTGCTGCTGCCTCCAGGCCAGGTCCTGATTCTGTGTTCCCATCACTGCCCTGGTGGTCGGATCCTTGGAAGTACCAAGATTTTCTTCCCAGGAACAAGCTATCAGCACAAGTGAGTTGGTGAGAGCATGTCCCACGTACCCACTGCAAGCACAGAGAGGTTTGTGCCTTCTACCCTTCAGCTCCCAGCCCTCCTGAAACCAGTGTAACTCTTGTATTCCTTTGCATAGCTATTTCCATCCCTGTATTCCTCTGCTGGTTCATGCTCTGATATTTTCCCACCTTTGCTCCCCTGCCTGGCAGCCTCACCTTGGGTCAGTGCTCAGTTCCCTGCAGCAGCGTGACTTTGGCAGCGCCGCCCAATTCCTTGTGGCCTGTGGCTGCTCCCACACCCAGGGGAGTGTGTCATACCCTGAGGACACACACTGGAACACCCAGAAAGCAAAGCCAGGAAGATTATGGCTGAGAGAGTTGGGGTTGTTCAGCCTCAGGAAGAGAAGGCTCCAGGGAGACCTTATTGTGGCATTTCAGTACTTAAAAGGACCTATAAGAAAGATGGGGAGAGATGTTTGAGCAGGGCCTGTTGCCACAGGACAAGCAGTGATGGGTTTAAACTTAGAGAGGGGGATTCAGGTTGAATGTGAGGAAGAAATTCTTTACAATGAGGGTGGTAAAACCCTGGCACAGCTTGCCCAGAGGTGGTGGAGGCATCATCCCTGGATACATCCCAGGCCAGACTGGATGTGGTTCTGGACAACCTGGTCTCGTGGAAGGTGTCCCTGCTCATTGCAGGGGGGTTGGACCAGATGGGCTTTGAAAGTCCCTTCCAACCCAAACGGTTCTATGATTTTAAATGTCATCCCTGGCAGTGTTCAAGGCCAGGTTGGACGAGGCCTTGGGTGATTTAGTGCGAGGTGTCCCTGCCCGTGGCAGGGGGGTTGGAACTTGATGATCTTAAGGTCCTTTCCAACCCTAACTATTCTATGATTCTATGTCTGTTCAAGGGCTCTACATCTATTCTTCAGCTCACATCCCTGTTCTGTGCTAATACCTAACCTGGGCTGTACCTGGCTGCCACCTCCAGCCAGCTCCGGAGGCTTCCCTTGGATTTGCAAACTGATTTAGGGCTTCCCAGGGGACCACAGCTGCAGCACCCTCTGTGTCCACAGCATTCCCCAGCCTTCTGTGTGCTCTTCCATCTTCTCAAGGCACTGCGACTGCAAGGGATGGCCTTGGTGATACCAGCCTGCCCCACAAGCCCTGATTGCCCCGGGAGTGTTGTGAAACCCCACCCAGCCTGTGATCACTTCAACAAGATGCTCAGGAAAAACCAGCTATTGCCTTCCCCGGTAAGCTCAGCTCCCTGGTTCCTTAGGTACATCTCAAGCCTGGCTGGGTGTCAGTGAGCAAACACCTCTTGAAGATAAGATCATGAATAGTTAATGTTCTCAGTTACCCAAGCATATTTAAAAATTAACACAAGCCTGGCACTGATGAGATTAAAAAAACTGGGTCATCAAAGAGAGGAAAAAACCAGAAAACAATTGCATCTACCCTGGGGCTTCGCTAATGACTGAGTTTTCATGGAAGATCCTATCCCTTCCTTGCTTTAATCCTTCAGGAGTTTAACATGCTGGATACCTCATTAAAACACCTTCCCTCCTGCCTGCCAGATTCTCCTCTGCTCCTCCTCTCCCTCAGGAGATTGCCTCCTTCACATGAGTCTCCAGGCTCAGCAGTGATGCTGCCTGTCACCGTGGTGGCTTTGGTGACCCAGTGACAAGCAGGGGAAGGGGGCAGAAAGCTGGGGCTGGGCCCACCTCTCCAAGCTGCCACAGCCCTGGTGATGGGCTCCCACTGGGAACAGCCCCCTCTGTCCCTGGGGTCCCTCCAGGCTCCCAATTGGAAAGGTCACCTCTCTTTGTGGGATGATGGCTTCGCCATCTACCAAATCAAGATGTTTCAGGTCCTTCAGGGTATGTGCTTAACAAGGGAATAAGCAAATACTGGAGATGGGGAGAGAAGGCAGCATTTGGGTCTGAGAGCTCCAGCTTTGGCGGGGCAGCTCTGTGCCAGGAGCCCACCCCAAGCTCTGGGCTGCTGTTCACATAGCAAGCTGGAAGAGACGAATGAATGGAGGCATGTGTAGGCAGACAAGAGGATAGGGAGCAAATAAACTCTAAATCCTGTTTTTTATAGCCTTTGCCCTGAAGCAGCTAACTGGGAAAACCAGCAGCAGGAAGCTGGGTCCCTCACCCTGGGAAGCCAGATGTTACGGGAGTGCTGGGTGGCGATGGCACAGACCACACATGGACGTCTACTGGTGTGGGCAGCATTGAGCACATGGATGCACCGTGATGGCTTGTCTGGATCCCCAGGTGAGCAAATGGTTGTTGGTTCTCACTGTGTGTCTGCCTGTGTGCTGGAGTGGAGGTTCCCAGTGCTTTAGGAGGGTGGGTGGTTGTACGTGGGTACCGATCCTGAGGGAGCAGGAGAGCATCTCCCCAGAGACCCAGCACACGCTGGGCAGAGCCAGGCCCTGGGCTCCCTGCTTTTCCTGCTTGTGTCTGACCCAGCTGCTTCTGGGTCTGCTCCTTCCTGCCACATGGAGCCAGTCAGGATGGGAAACACAGAACCAGAGAAGGAACAACCGCTTAATCAAGGGGCTTCTCTCCCTGTGCCTGTGGGACAGTCCTGGGCTGGGGTTTCCATTTGCAGGGAAATGGAGCGCTTTAAAGGCTCCTGTTTATCTCATTTTCTCCCAGTGAGATACTATTGATTTGCTCTGTGGAGGGACATAGGCTGATTAAACTGTGAGCGTTTATTGACAGGCCCTGAGGGCCACTGCTGCAGGGTCACTGCTGCTCTGCTTCCTCTTCCCTCTGATAATGGCTCCTATCAGGGGTTTTATTGCATGCTGCTGGCCGGCTCCTCCTGCAGAGGGAAGCACATGGACCGACCGCAGTGTGGCCACAGCAGACAGGGGTGGGAGAATCTTCCCACCCCTTTGGGGCTGAGCTGAGTCCTGGAGGGGGATCCTGGTGCTGCACGGAGCCAGGTCACAACCAGAGCATCACTTCTGTGGCCAAGGGGGACCCTGCTCCATGCCAGTGCTCAGGGGTCTATGAGCAGTGGGTAACAGTGGCACAAGGCAGAGCTGGGCTGAGGGAAGGGTTAAAGCTCCCCCTCCAGAGCACTGATGCAGGGATCAGAGCTCTGGATTCCAACTCATCTCTCTTGGCAAAAGCAGATTTCCTCTAAATGAGATCCTCTTGCACATAACTTGTGTGTAACGCAGGGGATAACTGCTCTGCTCATCACTTCGAAGGTTCGATTTCACATTAGGCTTAATGTCTCTTCTGAAGACTTATATATGTAATTCACTCCAGCATTTAGAGAAATCTCCCTCGTCCTTGCTCAGATTTACTGTTGCTACCCTTTTGCCTGATGCTGGGTGTCGCAGGCGCATCTATCAAGCGGTGGGCTGTGATTTGTGCCATGCCAAAGGGGGGGGGGGTTGCAGGATACAGGAATAAATGTGCCCTACTCAATAGCAAATAGCCTGCTGAGAGCATCCCTGGCAGCGTGCTTGGCTTAGGGAAGGACTGGCTGAGCAGAGCGAGGAGCCATTCTGCAGAGCAGGATACAGATGCCTAGGAAAGGGCCCACCTTTTGCTGCCCACACTTGGTGAGGCTCATCCCTGCTAGTTCAGCCCTGTGTCACTGCAGGTGACCTGCACATCACACAGCACCCAATTTGCATTTAAATTAAAACCCATATTTTTAAAGGAAAGCCTTCATTAAGCCCTGTTTGTCTTCCCGGGTGTATGCATTAGCAAGCCCTTCACTGATTTTTATTGAGTGGCTTTTGGAGCAGCAGCAGCTCCAGGGTCTGCCAGCACCATAGAGGCCCTCCCTGCCCTTGCATGCTCCGACACAGCCAGATCCAGAGAAGCTTTTGGTGGTGGTGCTGCCCCATGGTGTAGCTGCGCTGCAGTGGTGCGAGCAGGGATGCATCTGCCCTGGATGCAGCCCAGGGGGAGAGTGGGCTCTGGGAACAGACCACCAGGAATCACTGCTGCATCCTGCTTGGCTCTTGCAGCCATGCTGAGTCAAGGGACCTCAGCACTGCCTGAGACACGTCCCTTCTTCCTGGCAGTGCCATCTCCATGGGGGGGTCCTGCTCTCCTGTGGGTGCCCCAGGACTGCTGCACTGTGCCTGCATCCTTGCTGTGACCTCCTGGCCCACAGAGCCCCGGTCATGGGGGTGGCACAGAGCCCAGCTCCTCTGGATACCTTTCATCTCTCTCTTTCAACCCCACCAGACGTCCTCTGGCTCGTGTTCACAGAGATTGATGCAGAAGCATCTGGCCCATCTCCATCTCCCTCTGCAGCCATCAGGGTGACAGGTCCCACCCCTGCAGCAGCTCCTTCATGTGGGGTGCAGGCTGGTGCACACCATGACTGATGTGGAGACTTACTCGCCTCCCTGCCCCTAGTGCACAATGGTGCTTCTCCCTCCCCTGGGCCATGGAGTTGGTGTGGTGCTGAGCTGGCTGCAGTGACACTGGGGTCTGCACCAGGTTGATGCTGCAGCAGATCCTCTTGTTCTCCCTGGCCTCCTGGCCCAAAGCTGAGCTCCTGTGGTGGCCGGGTCCCTCCATGGGCAGTGGTACCTGCTGCCCGCTTCAGTCCTGCCCTCCCTTTCAGCTGCCCTTCACCCCTCTGCCGGGACCTGACAGCTTTGATTTCTCTCTCCTGGTTAGAGAACATGAGGTTTTTGACAGCTGCCTTTGCCATTATTCTTCTTTTAATGCTGTTGTTGTTTTGTGTTCCTGTCAAATCGCATCTTATTAAAGTTCTTCCCATCCTGTCAGCAGCAGATGAGGGCTGCGTAAGCTCCTGGCTCTGTCTGGGGAAATTGCCTTTTATTATTGATAAGGCAGCACTGCCTTTGGAGGATGCGACTCTGCCACGTGCTGGAGCAGGAGAGCAGCACCCCCAGCCCTGCTGGTGCTCCTGGGGAGGTCACCCTGCCCCTGGGGAGAAGAGCCAAGGTTGAGGTGGGTGCTGAGCCTGGGATGCCCTTGGTGGGTACCACGTAGCTGCCTGCTGTAGCAAAGGAGCTGATCCTGCCTGGAGCATCCCAGCTGCTCCTCCTGCACCTCAGAGGGAAATGGGGCATCCACTTCCCACCTTCCCATCCCAGAGCAGTAGCGTGGCATCCACAGGTGTGTATCCACCTTGGCTCAGATAGAACCAAAGCAGAAACTTGAGGTCCTGAGAGGACCAGGCACTAGGCAGTGCAAATGTCCTGTCCTGGCTTGGTGCTGCTATGAGCACCAAGGGCGTTGTTCCTGTCACTGACCACACTCCTGCCCCATGCAATCCCCTTGGGTCCCATCCCAGTGTCTGGGGGAAAGAAATCTGGGTCATGGCAGAACCTCTCTCCCAGCCCATGAAATATTTATGTGTGTTTAGAGCACGTTCCAGTTCCAGCTCCGGCTGCAGAGGAGGGGCAGCGAATCCAGGAGCAGCGTGCGTGTGTGTGCACGTGTCGGGGGCTGCAGGTGCAGGTGTGATGGAGGTGACCAGAGCTCACTGGGGATGTTGGGTGTCCCTGGCCCATGGCTGTGTTCAGAGTTCTCAGCCATGGTGAGGTTTGCCCCTGCCCCAGAGGTTAATGCTGGTTAACGGCCCAATGGGATAAGTGGGCCTGGGAATGGAGGTGGAAGAGCAGGGTAGGGGGGGCTGCTTGAGAAGGGATGAGGACCCTAGTTCTCTGAGAGCTGATATCCCATTTCCAGGGCAGATCTTGATCTGCTGATGAGCTCTGGTTACTCTTTGCTCTATGAACAGTCCCCCCTTTGCAAAGCAACTGACGCTGCCCATGGCTTGCTAAAAATTCCTTGGCATCATCGTGGATCCTCCGGCTTTGTTCAGCTGGAGGGAGCTGTTTCTGACCACAGAGTGCCACACAAAGGACCGGGCACTGCTTGGCCATCACTGGGCTGGCTGGATGGAGGAGCTGGACAGACCCAGCTCCTGGTGTGGGAAGCTTGGCCAGCCAGAGGGATCCAGGCAGGGAGTACCAATGGGATACAGGCTTTGCAGGACATGTTTCATGCCCTTGCTTGTCAGGTAATGGCATGGCCAATGCTCATCCCTTCCCTCAGCCCCTCTCCGAGGCAGAGATCTGTAGCCGGTGAGGTGGAGCAGGATGGGCTGACATCCCTTGGGAACATCATCCAAAAAGGCTTTGGTTGTGTGATCCAGGCTCTTTGCATGCACAGAACTCACTGCAGTGCCGTTCCCTTGGTGTGGGCCTCCTCCTGCTTGGTTTGTCTCCTGAAATCCTAAGTCCAGCATGGGCCGCATCCCAGTGCCATTGGGAGCAGAGCTCCGTGAGCTGGGATGGGGCTGAGGCTGTGGGATCAGGGCCCTTTGGTGACGGATTGGGCATGGATCTGCAGATGCAGCAGGGGCCAAGCTGAGCCCCGGTGGGGTCGGGAGCCACCAGAGCAGGCGGTACTTTTCTGCTGATAAATCTTGTTTCTGACTCAGCTGCATGTCAGCCTGGGAAGTAATGCATCATCTACATGGCAAGAGCAAACAGCCTGTGCTGCAGGTACAGCAAGTCCTGTGCAGCAGGGAGAGCCAGGGGCAGCAGTAGCTGGAAGCAGATTGCTCCAGGACTGCTGTTCAGGTTGCCTTTTAAAAGCTTTAGTTCCCACAGTGTATTCCATGAGCTTTTCCCATAAGCATAAATCCAGGAGTAGCTTCAGTG